AGTATTGATCAAATAAATGACACTGTTTATATAGATATTTATACGATATTAATAGAATTCATAAAAGAAAACATTTATTTTGATGAAACACGATCGGTTTCCCACGGGTTTAAAAAAATTTATACTAATCAAATATCTCAAATATTTAATATACCTATATAGAAATTAACATGAATGCAGATCATTTACATTTAAATATAAGTAACACTTAACATTAAATGATTAATACAACCATCATTAATTTGCAAAACTATTAAAAACCAGGTTCAGATAACAACGTTGAGTCCTATTAATAATAAACAAAACATTATCTAAACATTTGAAATACCAAAGAAGAAAAGAAGTTGTTCGCTACCCACACGCGAACTATATAAACCACAAATACCATATCAACAACATAATTTCCATATACTTGCACCCAAAAAACAACACCAAGACATCATGATTCCTTTCAAAATAACAAAAAAACAACCCACAAGTCTATCACAATTACCATCAGAAATTCTACAACGAATCATTGTAAAACCAACTGACAAAGATCACACCGCTTTACAAGCAATACGGTTAACGTAAGTTTTACTAAAACCATCGTATTTCATTAATCTATTGATTTCATTATTTTCTTAGTCATACAAAAAATGATATTATACAAAATGGTTAAATATACAACTAATAACAATAAGATAGCTATTTAAATTTCTGAACAATCTTATAACAATAATGGTTAACCATACAAATGACTCTACCGAACCATGTACTCTTTAGTTTGTTAATAGTTTTCTAATACACAAAAAATAAAATGCATTTTAGGTTCCATTTTAAGTGAGTCATATTTGGTACCTTATTTATTCTTAATTGCTTATCATAAGGTAATGGTATTGTGATTCCCAACTATGGATTTTTTTTTTTTTTTAACTATTACGAATCTTTTGCTTTGAAACCATTACTTACCGAACAATTTATGGTGTGCAAATCTCTGAACAAACAAGCAAACATAAAACAAATTTACAAAGAACATTTCGAAACCGACACAAACTACCAACAATAACAACAACGGACTTTCAATTCTAAAGACCCTTGCAGAAGCAGAAAATAAACAAGCTTTGCTACTGCGGAACACATTTGTTCTTCTTCGAACATGATACATATATGGGATTAAACTACTGATTGCAGTTTGCCAAAAATAACATGCAAGCAATATATCACACTGTCGTTGCTCTGCTTACTGTACATGACAACAAAGGTATCAAATTCTAATGAAATTAGTAAAACTACCTAATCATTTCTACAAGCTGAAATATTGCAGGGAAGAATTCAAGTCCTAACTCCAACTACAACATTTCTCATTAAAAGACAAATTTGGGACTTGCAATAAGGAAAATCAAATCGTATACACTGGGACATATCAATGTCACCAAAAAATATCACATGTCATAGATGTAACGTGGATTACAACATAGTCTGTATGAAATTTAATTTTTAGTAACTTTCTTATGTAATTTCTTGCACATGTACAAATTTAAATGCTTTTTAGTTTAATATGAAAATAGAAGTTAAAACTCACTCAATTATCAACAATTGATCCAAATATTAATAACTTATAAAGAAAAATTGATCACAAATTTACAATGATCAGTAAAATGTAACAATATTAATAAAAATATTAAACACCAATGATTATGACAATTTCAAATAATTAAACATGTTGACAAACAACAATCTAAATACTGTTCCTATAACATATAAAAAAATTTTCATTCCATATCATTAGATTGAATTTTACCGCCAAACCCCAACACGCCTGCCAAACCATTGTTAACTATTTATTCGCTCTCCTTTAATGCACCACAAACAATTTTCCTACAAGTTGTCAAGACTTTTTCAATCAACGTGTTCTATCCTATTAAATGTCTGTTAATTTTCTCAATGTAACTTTTATATTGTGTGATACAGTGCCCCAGAAATTGTTCAAACATTATTTAAAAATTGAGCATATTCAACAAACATCAATCTAAATATATTATAATCTTAATTAAAAAAAAAGTAGAAATAATCATTTCATTACACATTTAAAAAAAAACTTTGTAGCATTATTGATCAAACAAAATCAAAGTCGAAACTATATTCATTTTCATTACCATATTATCGAGCCACAATTAAAAAATTAATAAATATATTATGACATCATCATGTCATCTCTAACTTTGATACTTGACAAAAATTTATTGTCCATCCTTTAAAATGTATCAATAAGATTTTATTAGTAGTAAATCACATGTTTATTTATCATATAACTCAACAGTTGTCGAACCATTATTAACTACCTAACTAATATGTTGCACACTTAACAAAATATTTATTACCATTTTCTTTATATTGTATAGATAGTCTACTAACGTTTTTGTATTACCTTGTCCAAATATTATAATACTTTTCGATCGACATGTTTTTATTACCAGTTGTCTGTTCATATTCTACCTTTTCGTATCCTATTCTCTTATAAATATTGCTCTGACATCAATCACCCATTTACTTTCTTCAGATACTATATACTTAATTGTTCATTCTTCTCCAAAACTTAATTTGAAAATGGCTGACAAACATCACAATCAAAAGAATCTGCAACGAATACCAACAACAACCTCAACAACAATAATTCTCCACCAAGGCAACCAGAAGGTATAAATGTTCCACATCTTTGTATCCTAACTTACAAAATCACAAACAAACGATAATACATATTTGGCGGAAATAAAAACCATTAAATTTTTTTTTTTTTTTTTTTAGATATGTCAAGAGTTCATCTCTATATATTTACACATTCATATTACCGTTCTATATATTATAAAATTGATTGTATATTGTTTCTGCAATTGTTTTAAACATTTTTTAGGGAATGCCAAATTGAGGGAGATTTTCAAAAAGTTAGAGCAATTTGGATGATCTACATACTGTAACAAACAAATTCAGAGAGTCATTGACCGATGTTACAAATCATGGAATCTGCCATGGATTTATTTATAACCTAAACAGAAGAGCGTATGCATTGCACTAGAGGAACTGAACAACTATAAGAAAAATAGAAAATAGAGTCTATATCGTCCAAACCCACTTCACAGTACGAAAAAACGATGTACATATTTATTTTAATAATAAAAGTCTTATTCTCTATATTTATTTTGTCTTGATTTTGGCGTTACTCATTAATTGATTGAAAATTGTTCTCCATCATAACACGGTAGTTTTGATTAATTATTCCATCTTCACACATTGCAATACTAATAATAATTATATAAGTACATTACATAGGCATTCCAAAAATCTAACCATTTTCAAGAAAAACATATAAAGATGGAAGTTAGTAGTTTTCAAACCTTGGTTGGAAAGAATCCTATACTATGAAAACAAAAAATTACAATCATTTCAAACGTGAAAATAAACTCATATAAATTTTTAAGTTCAATATTGATCTTCATAATATTATTGATATTAATATTATAAAAGTACAATTATTAATTTTAGCTTAACACAACTTTATACATAATAGAATTTTATATTTACTCTAACTGTATATCTAATTATCATCTCTTATCTAATTATTTATATGTTATAAATTTGTTTTAACAACACAATAATGAAACACAAAAAACAACCTATTTGAAAAATATAAATAAACATACCCGTGTAACCTTAGACCCATGTCTAGTTGAGATATAATAATCCATTTATCATTTAAAAAGGACTAAACCCTGCAAACTATCTGTATATAATTTTAACAAACCCCTCACTTAAAAAACTATCTATACCTCACTGTGGTCTACTGTCTTACCACCTTTGAGATTTGTTTATTATTGCTAATTTCTTCTAAAGGGAGTATTGTATAATACCACAAATATTGTACCACAAAATTTAACCTTATTTGTAATTTTATAACATAATTTTTTTCATTTATTGTCTTGTAATTTGATAGGTTAACAGGGAAGTCAAATCTATTTATGACTTAGTTACTACATGCATTGGTTTGTATGATTAAATAACTAAAAATTGTGTACAAATGTAAGTAAATTTTATTCTTACAATAATTAAATCAGTAAAGGGAAGAAACGCATCCTAGTTTGTATCCGAGTAATATGCATTATGCAAAAATAGATAGCATGAAGAATAATCAAAATACCATATAATTTATATCCTAAAATCGCAAAGTGATATAAAATTTGAGATATATATGTTTTTTTTTTTTTTTAAATAAAAACTTGGGATGACCCCACCCAAGTTTTGTAAGTATCACCACCTTGAACTTACTTTTAATTTACATTGACCTTAGCTAACAAAAACAAATTTTTTTTTACCTTTTTTTTAAATAAATGTATTTATATAGGTTAAATTCATAACTTCATTTTATCTTGATCTAACTTAGAAAATTATTGTATATAGTATATTAATATAAAATTCATTCAAATTCTAAAATCAAACTCATATAATATCTTCTGTAGTTTGGGAATTGTTAGAGTACGAGATGGATAAAGACACTTGGTCGCAATGTGGTATGGAAAGGCTCACACTATTGACCATGACAGGGGCTAGCGAAACTCGTGGAGCTTTCTATAGTATGGCTTACGAAAACTATGTAGTTTGTTTCAATGTCACTGAGGAAATCCATTAAATCAATCGTAGTTGTTTATCGAGCCTACTCGACCCACCAACATGGTTGATTTGTTACAATGGTCTTCACTTCACTTTAGTTTCTATACAAGAAAGAAAAAGTGAGAAATTTGGTTTTTCAAATTGCTATTCAAATTAAATGTCTGTTGTTACCCTTAATATGTTATTCAACAACATGATACGACATTGGGGTTTATTAATTTCCTAATCTATGGGTGCAGCAATTCACCCAAAGCAAGGGTAGCAAGAGATTCCATGTAAATAATTAGATTAGATCTATGTTTAGAGTAGATTAACGAAAATGCCCTTCAAATAAATTTTAGCAGCTTAGTTTTAGTAAACGCCAAATACCGCCTTCTCTTCTCCATTCTCCATCATTCCAACACACCAAACCACATCTCTCACTGCTTCCACCAAATCAGATGGCTCGTTCCCTCTTTCTCTCTCTAAACAAATCCATCTCCATCGTCCATCTCCACCCCCGCCACAAGCATCACCTCCTTCCCCTCAGCCCATCGTCCCGCCTCGTATCTCTCCGCACTCAATCCAACCAACCCGACCTCTCTGACCTTTCCACTTCTTCCGACTCCACCACAGACCCTTTGCTCTCCAAGCTCGAGGACGCCATCCACCTCATCATTGTGCGCCGCTCCGCACCCGATTGGCTCCCCTTTTTGCCCGGATATTCGTACTGGGTCCCTCCCAAATCCCAATTCCACGGTGTGGCTCAATTGGTTGAGAAATTGGCCAACCCGTTGACGCCCGAACAAGCTATGTTCACTAACAGTGTTCGAGGCTGGCCCTCGTCGGATTATTTTGTTAAAGGTATGAAGTTTGTATTTTTATAACTGTTTAATGAATTTTATTTCTTGGTTTCTTTATTTGAAGTCAAGTTGTGATTTTTATGGGTTTGGATTTGTTTTGGTTTATTTTTTTGGGTTGCATTTGTTGAAAAGTAATTATAGGTAGATCCCCTTCTTGATAAATTTTATGAAATTTGTGAGAATTTTCATGAATTTTGAAATTAAGGAGTCTGTTTGTAGTTTAGAGAAAGAAGATAATTTTTAGATTTTATATATGTATGTGGTCGGTGGATTAAGATGGAAGAAGATAAATTGATGGAATCATGGTGTCATTTAGAAATAGAAATCAATTGAAGTAGGGTTTTTTTTGTTTTACGTACTTTTTTTTTCGGGTTTTCCTGTAGAGGTGTTAGCTTTGGGAAGTTGAGGAACTACTAGTAGCTCGTGGCTTCGTGTGACTTTGAAGACAACTTATAGTATATGATGCTTTTTATGTCAACTCTTTGATCCTCAGCATTAGAGTGTCGTGACCATTGTGCTGTAATGGATAACAGGGCCCAGATGGTGAAGGAATTTTGAGATTTTATTCCAGTAGCATAGATGCTTAGCTCATGTTCAGAATTAAGTTGAGGCTTTTTGGTGAACACTTAAAAATTTTACGGTCCTTATATTTTTCTAAAGCTTCTATTTTTAGGTGGTTCAAGATAGACATACAGCTTTGAAGGTGGCGATCATTTATGATTATCTTTTTTCTATGTTATTTGATAAGAAAATAAACATGTTTTATTATATTGACATAATAGAATTCAGCCTGTTGGTGAAAAAGCAGTCAAACAACTGAAACAACCAAATAATGTCAGCCACCAACTCCATAAACAACTATCAACTCATCAATCAATAGTATTTCTTTTAGCTTGAATAAAGAAAAATGTAGTCTTATAATTCATTGGAAACTGAGGTCCACGAAGATACCCACCATTTTACTCCACTCAAGAAGTCTTCCTCCTTCCTGCTACAACACTCAAAGATCCTGCTACTCCTTTCAATAAATTTGCAATCAGAGCATAATTTAATAAAACAACAACTAATGAAGAGAAAAAACGGTTGATAATTTCAACCTTCTTGCTTATTAACATACTAATGTTGTGACTACTTATATCGAACCTTCTCTTGTCAGTCTCTTCATATGCTAGCATAAGATGATTTTGACATGGTGTACTTTTTACTCTAAAGTTACCCCATTTGTGGTTATTTCCTAATGTACCGGTCTTTTAATGTCAAAATGTAGAATGCCATTGTGCTTTTTTGTTTAATCAAAATATATTCTAGTTTGATGTTATCATTTTGTTACACATGGTTATCGTTTTGTTATATACAGTTTCTGTTACTCATTTATACACTGGGATCCTGTTTTAGTTGGGGAAAAATAAAAGTTACGCATGATGCTGAAACCTCAGACCAATCTCTGGTTCAGAGCATTGAGAATTTCTTGTGGCCAAATTAGTGACATCTTGTTTGTTTATTTCTTCAAGAACTGAGTTTTGGTTGTGTTGATCAGTCTGAGTAATGGCATCATTGACATAAATGTGTCTAATATACATGCTGAAGTTTATATAGAACATTCTGTTAACAGTGGGTAAGTGAACGGATGGTAAAGTGGAGGAAAAACTGTTGTGAATGATGTTATTTTTCAAAGGCATTCAGAAAGCTGTTTCTGGTCAGATATCTTGTAACAACTAAATTGCATTTTATTCGCAAATTGAAGAATGCTGGAATACACATTTTTAAATGAATTTTAATGATTGCTTAGTTTGATATTATCATATATTTATTTAAAAGCAATTCAATTCAGTGGCTCATATGATTAATTTAGGTAAAATGGTTCATTGTCTGTGTGGTATGCTTTATCATAAGAGCAGAAACTTTAAGGGCTTTGCAAGTTACATGGGAGCCCTTTAGATTCTTAATTATCATCTGATAACAAGTTGTTTTAAGTGTTAGAGTGGTCAACTTCTTTATATTTTTTTATTGTAGGTGCATCTTTACATCCAGTGGAAGAAGACACGAATTCCACTAATGTATCTCAATCTGAAGATGAAGAGGGGTGAATAACTCGTTTTAGCATATCTGGCATCTGGGTGAGGAAGATTATGATTTTGTATGTCTTATATTTATTGGAATTACTTAGCTGTGTCTTTTTAATTTGATTAGTTGTGACGGTACTGTAAATATTTATTAAAATAAATGTCACTGAAAAACTGTAGTGGTCAAGAATATAAGTATTTAGTGTATGTGTTGTGTACCAATCTCAATGTGTGACAATACATTAATCTGTAAGATTATTTCAATATCAACATCTGATTTCTTACAACATCATGGAGTATGGATGGAGGGTGGGAGTCACACTGTGGTCGCTGGTGTTGGCTTTTGGTGGTGTTTAGAGGTGGTGAAAGGTAGTAATTGTGTTGAAGAAGCTGAGGTGTTGATGGTTTGATTCCCTTTTTTAAAAAAAAAATAAATAAATAACTGTAGTGGCAATCATTTTGGTGACGAGAGAGCAGTGTTCATGAAAATGTATTTTTGTATAGCAGAAGGGTGAGCTGTATATATATCAAACCTCAATGTAGTCAAAGTAATTGTCCAGAGATTGTGTTCAATGTTTGATCATCTAGTATATATCTACGTACTGTTAGATAGATACCCCTTTATGAAGTTTGAAATATTATAAGTTATAAACTAGTGGGAGGTACAACAAGCAGTTGTGATGCCAATGATAACAGGCATTGAATGTGGCAGTGTACTTCTCTGTAAGCAATGAATATTTGGTCTAGGTATCAGCGGGTACTTCTTTTGGTGTAGCTGGATTCTACCCATGTTGATCATTGTGTCCAGAACAATATTTCGATGAATTGGAAAGGTGTTTTGTGTCTAAAAACTGGAATACTACTGCTAGTGACTCTGGATTGGAACATGTGACAGACTCATTATTTGTGTGGAAGTGAAAAAAGTCATAAATTACAAAGTGGGAGGGGTTTACATTAAGATAGTTGGTACTACTTTAAATGACTTATTTTGTATTGAAAATCTTGTTTCTCCTGAGCCTTGATGCTTTGAGAAATACCGGCTACTGCTGTTCTTGAACTTCTATTGAAAAGCTTTCAGAGTATTACTGGGAAACTAATATCTTGTTTGTTTGTTTGGTTGGTTATTTTGGTTAGTAGGTTTAAAATTTTTTTGGCGAGTGATATCTTGTTTACAAAATCTTGGACACACCTAGATCACAGATTCTATCTGATAGTTTTATTTTGTAATTTTGTGTTAATGCTATGTCTGTTTGATACTTTTCAGAACTTTATTCTAGGCATGCCTATATCGTTTTGTATTGCGTACTTGCATGTCTCATATCTGCCCACTTATCTCGTATTCTATTTGAACTTATAATTTTTATCTGGTAGTTGATAAACAAACCATTGTTCTTCAACATGAAGATCCTCAAAAAAAGAAAAAGAACACGACTGTTGACTGGATTATGCGATGTGCAGGCACCCATCAGAACTGTAAATTTATGTAGAACCGAGAATGGAAAGCATAAAAAAACCTGCATCGACAGACTTCCGAGCAGCAATCCTGCAACTTGGGTCGGGATGATAACTTATTTCCCAATGTTCACTGCTTGAAATGACCTTATATCACTCCTTATGTAGTTTGCCATTGCATTGTATGTCATAATTGTAGTATTTATAGATTTTAGATATCCCAGTTGAGCTGCTGGGTTATCTTTCATCTGATGATATATAGTTATTTGACATTTCTCAACTTTAGTATGTACAGTATATGGTGGGATGGATTCTTGTAAAAATGGTCTGTTGTCATTCTGGGCTCCCATTTTTTCATAAACAACTGTCTTATTGCAACAGAAAACAAATATGTTTGTTTTACAATGTTACAGGTGAAGAATTATCTTCAAAAGAATGGTAGAGATTTCGCAATTTATCTCAATTCGCAGTGGGTTACCATATTGTTGCAATGCAGTGAATATTATAGAGCATGATGGATGAATTGGTATAGATTTTGTAAAATTGTTTATTTACAAAGCAGTTCTCCAGTGAGAATCACATGTTACTTGAGGTCCACATTGAGCAACTCATGGAAAAGCTATTTCATTCACTTTATGCTTGCGATATTCCCTTTCTCTGAGTGTCCCACAATTCATATACAAGAACTAGGGGTGTTCGGTTCTGGGTACTCTGCACTTTTTGAAGGAACCAGAACCGGAACTGACGGTTCCTTGAAATTTGAAACTAGAGTCAGAACCGACGGTTCGGTTCCTAGGTACCCAGAACTAGAATCTGTAACAACAGTTTCGGTTTTGGGTACACTATAAAATTCATGACCCCTTAAAAGTTTTTAAAATGGCAAAAAAACCCTTAAAAACTTACAAATACCCCTTCACTGGCACTTGTTAACAAAAATAAAATTACAAATTATAAATTCAAAATTCAAAATTACAAACTTCATTACTTTGTAAAGGTAGATTTTCAAAAGTCAAATCAACTTACTTTAAATGTTATGAAATATAAATATAAATGTATTCACATTACTTTTTCTACAAAAGTTTTTATTAACCCCTCTAATCTTTAAATTTATTTTATATTAGTCTCGGTTCCTAGTTTCTGATTCTTGGTTCTGGTTCCTAACTATAGGAACTGGAATCAGAACCGAAACTACACAGTAACGGTTCCAAAAAATTGGAATTGGAACCTACCTATTGGTGATTGGTTCTGGGTAGGAATCGGAACCAGAACCAAACCCAGGGTACTCGTCGGTTTCGGTTCCAACCGGTTCTTTTGAACACCCTTAACAAGAACCACTCTAAACTTTGCCATCAAATGAAACGTATCAAATTGTATTCATGAGATGATTGTATGAGATTGAGACATGAAAGAATCTTAGGAACGCAACACGCAAAAAACAGCTTGATTGAATCAGTCAGCTCTGTTAGGGTTGTCAGGCAAGTTGAACTGTTCGCCGGCTCAGCTCAAGTCGAGATCGAGTTAACTCGCGAGCCTCTCGAGCGGAGTATTAGGAAGCTCGAACTTGGCTCGAGTCGGCATACAAGCCACTCAAACAATCAAACTTGAGTTGAGCCCACGAACAGTTCAACTTGCTTGACAACCCTAACAGAGCTAACTGATTTAATCAAGTTAATTTTTGCATGTTGTGTTCCTGAGATTCTTTCATGTCTCAAAGATTTGGTTTTGATATGTTGATTTTGCGTTGTGTAGTGTTATGTTGAGTTTAGGTTGAAGAGTTATGGTTGATTTGTAGGATTTATGTTCTAATGCTTGAAATTGATTTGAATGGTCGTTGTAATGGAGCGTAGGCCTACTGGGTTACTGGCTATTGAAATGAGAGAGGAAAGGTTTTGTAGTTTAGTGTTGTTGGTTTGAAAGTGGTGGAGGTGGTAAGCTGTCGCAGTTGGTGAGGGAAAGTGTACCCAACTACTATGCTTCTCAGCTCCACCATTTCATCACCATTACTACCACCTCCATTTTCAATCTTCAATAGCATCTCAACAATCTTGTTTTTATCTTTATCTTTACATTAAAAACGAGATTGAATAACTAAAGAAGTAGATCGCAAACTTTCTTTCATGAAACCAACCCTCCTTTGATCAACAACCCATATATCTTTGAACCTGAGGATTTTCATTCACCATAAGTTGAAATCTTTAGTATCTTCCTAATCTTAAGACCCGTTTTCATATTTGTTGCCCGGAGAGTCCACGACACTTGGATTTTCGCCACGTGTCTAGTTACAATAGGGTAGATTTATTTGCAAATTTGCCACTGTGTTAGTATATAAGCAAATGTAACAGCCAAACACGGGTCAACTCTTCCATATCCCTAACTTTCTATCAAGCACCAACTGCCCATAGGGGCTCCTTAATCTTCCATCCTGGAAGGCATACAATGTCATAATAGTGGATGTAGGACTCGCATTAAATATGTTCAACGATCCTGGTTGCCACGTACTACAACATTCTCTACTCAAATCGGACACAGCGAGTTAACGTCTCCGCTAGCATAGTCGAAACTCAAGGCTTCCTAAGGTAGGAGATCGTCGGCTCCTTTAGACACGTTGGTCGTGACCCACGTTACTACCATAAACAGTGGCTCCCTCAATAGCTACTAGTCAAAAGCACCACCAGAGGAACTCGACGGGCGCTTGTACCGACAAGGCAAAGGCAAAGTCGGTGATGGGAATCCTTTGCTCCCCATAGTAGCATCTCTTCACCAGTGGGGGGGGTGGGGGTGGGGGGGGGGGGGGGGGGGGGTGGGGGTTTGTTGTTAGGTGGGTATTTTTGAGAGGAAGAGACACCCAGACATGGGTCAACTCTTCCATATCCCTGACTTTCTACCAAGCGCCAACCACCCATAGGAATTCATTAATCCTCCATCCTGGAAGGCATATAATGTCATAATAGTGGATGTAGGACTCGCATTAAATATGTTCAACGATCCTGGTTGCCGCGTACTGCAATACTCCCGACCTGAATCGGACACCACAAGTTAATGTCTCCGCTAGCATAGTCGAAACTCAAGGCTTCCTAAGTAGGAAACCGTCGGCTCCTTTAGACACTTTGATCGTGACCCACGTTACTACCATAAATAGTGGCTCCCTCGATAGCTACTAGACAAAAGCACCACCATGGGCACTCAGTGAGCACTTGTACCAACAAGGCAAAGGCGAAGCCAGTGATGGGAATCCTTTGTTCCCCATAATAGCATCTCTTCAACTTGTTAAATGGTAGGCGCACCCTCGCCTATAACTCGAGCTTCTTAGCTTAGGAATGGCGATGCGCCACAACTTGTTAATGAGAGTATCTTTTCAACTCGTCAAATGGGAGATACGTCCTTGCCTATATTTGAGAGGAAGAGACAGCCAAACACGGGTCAACTCTTCCATATCCCTAACTTTCTATCAAGCACCAACCGCCCACAAGGATTCCTTAATCCTCTATCCTGGAAGGCATACAATGTCATAATAGTGGATGTAGGACTCGCATTAAATATGTTCAGTGATCCTGGTTGCCACGTACTGCAAAATTTCCTGCCCGAATCGGACACCGCGAGTTAACGTCTCCGCTAGCATAGTCGAAACTCAACGCTTCCTAAGGTAGGAGGGAGACCGTCAACTCCTTCAGACACTTTGGTCGTGACCCATGTTACTACCATAAACAGCGGCTCCCTTGATAGCTACTTGTCAAAAGCACCACCAGGGGCACTCAACGGGCACCTATACCTACAAGGCAAAGGCGAAGCCGGTGATGGGAATCCTTTGCTCCCCATAGTAGCATCTCTTCACTAGAGAGAGGGGGGGGGGGGGGTGTTGTTGTTGGGTGGGTATTTTTGAGAGGAAGAGACACCCAAACATGGGTCAACTCTTCCATATCCCTGACTTTCTATTAAGCGGAAACCACCCACAAGAATTCCTTAATCCTCCATCCTGGAAGGCATACAATGTCATAATAATGAATGTAGGACTCGCATTAAATATGTTCAGCGATCTTGGTTGCCACATACTGCAACACTCCCCACCTGAATCGAACACCACGAGTTAACGTCTCCGCTAACATAGTCGAAACTCAAGGCTTCCTAAGTAGGAGACCGTCGGCTCCTTTAGACACTTTGGTCATGACCCACGTTACTACCATAAACAGCGGCTCCCTCGATAGCTACTAGTCAAAAGCACCACCAGGGGCACTCGATGAGCACCTATACCAACAAGGCAAAGGCGAAGCCGGTGATGGGAATCTTTTGCTCCCCATAATAGCATCTCTTCAACTTGTTAAATGGGAGGCGCGCCCTCGGCTATAACTCGAGCTTCTTAGCTTGGGAACAGTGATGCGCCACAACTTGTTAATGAGAGTATCTTTTCAACTCGTTAAATGGGAGATACATCCTTGCTTATAACTTGAGATTCTCAACTTGGGGATGATCCGGTGCAACAACTCGTTAAATGGGAAGCGGACCCTAGCCCACAACTCAAGCTTACAACTTACTAGCTTGAGAATGACAATGAGCCACAACTCGTTAACGAGAGCATCTCTCCAACTCATTAAATGGGAGGCGCGCCCTCACCTATAACTCGAGCTTCTTAACTTGAGAAAGGCAACGCGCCACAACTCGTTAACAAGAGTATCTCTTTAATTCGTTAAAGGGAAGGCACACCCTTGTTTATAACTCGAGCTTCTCAGCTTGGGAATGACTACGCGCCATAACCCATTAACGAGAGCATCTCTTCAACTCGTTAAATGGGAAACACGCCCTCGCCTATAACTCGAGCTTCTCAATGACGCACCACAACTCATTAATGAGAGCATCACTTCAACTCGTTAAATAGGAGGTGGGCGCTCGTCTATAACTCGACCTTCTCAGCTTTGGAACGACGACATGCCACAACTAATTAATGAGAGCATCTCTTCAACTTGTTAGATGGGAGGCGTGCCCTTGTCCACAATTTGAGCTTCTCAGCTTGGGAACAGTGACGCGCCACAACTCGTTAACGAGAGTATCTCTTCAACTTGTTAAATGAGAGATGCGCCCTCGCCTATAACTCGAGCTTCTTAGCTTGGGAATAGCAACACGCCACAACTTGTTAATGAGAGTGTCTCTTCAACTCTTTAAATGGGTGTGTCCTCTTCTATAACTCGAGCTTCTCAACTTAGGAACGATGACACCCTCATTAACGAGAGCATCTCTTCAACTCTTTAAATGGGAGGCACACCCTCGCCTACAACTCGAGCTTCTCAA